ACCGAGACACGCCGCAACAGCAGCAAGCCGGAGAAACCAGCCCAACCGGCAAGGTAGATGATATTTACCGAAGTTAGGATAAGATATGGTCGATGCTTGTATACACGCCATAGGACGCTTGTGTGCTGTTGTTTTTCAAAAATGATGTCCGTCATTTGCGTCTTTGATCTTCCGTTTATGTAGCATACAGAGTAACAGCAACACTAAAGCTGAGGTAAATTTGGTCAAAAACAGACCTGCAGATGCCTGTAAAGACAAATGGGATGTATTTTCCTGCAGCGATACTGTACAGCTACATACACCTGCTGCCACCGCCGCCATCTTGACTGCCTCTCTGCTGTTTCAGTCGGTCAGCTGGATCTGAAATGGATCTGAAGACAGCCTGGACACCAGCCACACCATCAAACTCAGGACATGTGCCCGTTTGTGACAAGCATTAGTGCTGTGCTGCCTTTTGTTTGCCCCCCCTTCAGCGAGYTGAGCACCTCGAAAACCACAATGGATTCTGGGATTTCAGGCTGCCTTTCAGCTGAACGTCCATTAGCAGAAGTCACAATTACTGCGTTCAAACAAGGAGCAGCTCAACTGGATATGTTTGAGGCTGAGAGCACACCACACTCACAAGTGCTCATTCCCCAAAAAGAGAAGCAACAGGAACACGAGTGTCACAGCTGGACTGTGCAGTGAAATAACACGACTTTCTAAATCCTTCCTTTTGTACCGTGTGAATGTTCAGATGTCTGAGTCAGGTAGCTTTATCGATAGACTCCACTTTATTTTGTAGAGGACTTAAGAACCTGCCGCTGCCACTTTGTAGTCACTAACACAAGACACATACAGAAGTAGACGGGTCAGAACATTTTAGTGCCACAAAACAAACCTTGAAACTTTTGGCAGATGTTAATGCTGAGGCTTATTCGTAATATATCTGGGCAGTTTTTTCTTTCAACCCCAACCTAGATGAGCTGCACGGTGTGACAGAAGAAGTTAGTTAAATCACTACTAACATGAAATGAGCAAAGACCTTGTCTTTTTATTTCTAGGTAGTCAGTATAATGCTCCACTCCCTTTGCCCTGCCTCGGTCTCTGAAAACCGTCTCCTCATCTTTGCTTTGACATTTTGTATCACTTCTCCATTTTTTCCCCCCTCCCAATCGGCAAACTTCCACCTTTCATTCATCATGTCCTTTGGCCTCAATTATTTCATCCTTCTATCTTTTACCCATCTTCCTTTCTACTTCTTTACCCTCAAACTTCACCCGTGATTAAAGCTCCCGGCCTTCGCACGACTTTGTAAAGCACACAAGCTGAGCTGGTCAGCCTCTGGCTTTGCAGTAAGCAGCTCAGCAAATATAATCAGAGGCATATGTGCTAAAACACACACACACACACACACACACACACACACACAC